ATACATATACATACATATATGCATATATACATATATATATATATATATATATATATAGGCTATTTTTTTCTTTTAATATAAATTCTTTTAATATATAAATATATATACACATAAATATATATACATATATATATATATATATATATATATATATATATATATATATATAGGCTATTTTTTCTTTTAATATAAATCTTTGGTTTTCTGCTAACACACACACACGTACGTTATTGATCTACAAATTGACCAATGATATTGGTGTTCCTGACCTAGTACTTCAGTTTCAGTCACTTTCCCACTGCTGTAAGCTAGCTTCCTTGTGCCTTTCTATAAATATTTCCATGGTAATTCTGGTACTTCAATTTCATGAATTTAAGTGTTGTATTAGACTGGCAACTGAGTCTCATCATTTTCTTATTGAAATAACTAGATGCAGCTGTAAGTTCTATTTTAATAGTCAATAAGTGTGAAAGAAGAAACTATGGAAATCTCTTTTGACATAATATTTACCTGTCAATTATAATCTTCAAAAAATTTAAATGTAACGTCAATTGCCATCTTCAGTCTTTCTGAATCTTTTTTTTTTTTTTTTTATTGTTCTTTCTCTTCACTAACACGCCCTCATTTTCAGTCATTATCTGTAACCTCTTGTCTCAGTGGCTTTATTACCTTGCTTGGGGTGAAATGTTTAAAAAAAAAATTTTAATATTGTCCTTCTGCTATATACTTTTTCTGATAGTTGTTAGTCTATAATATATAATTTTTCAGTACCACTATATACAATTATATGTAGCAGTACTGAAAAATGCTTGGCTAAACCCACTTCTCAAAAGCTGACTAAATAACTAAATATCAGATTTCTTTTTCTTCTTTTTTTTTCTTTGGCAAGGGCTTCTTGGTTGGGCTGAGAATTTCCATCGTCATCATCTCATTCCATAATTTTTAGCTGATCATATTTTGAACAAATTACTGATAGTTATTTTCTACTTTACATTAGACAATCTGACAGCTTCGTGTTGTATTTTGCAGCTGAACGCTGCATTGCAAGTGCTACTCAACTTGTCTATGAAAAAAGAAGACTATTATTTCTGGTTGATGGATTTTGTCATACTAGCATTAGCAATAAATCTGTTTATCACTGTATTTTAGACTTACAGCCAGATCATGCTGAAATGCTGGTTCCCATCCCAGTGAAATTAAGCAACATTGAGCCTGGTCATTACTTAGATGGGTGACTACTAGGGGATACCAGGTTCTATGAGCTTGGATGTGCAGGTAGTCTAATGAATAAGGACTCGAAATTGTTAATTGGTGAGCCAGGTTTTAATCCCCATTCAGTTCATTATATTTACTTATGCACAAATACCCTCGGGAAAGGAATGAATTCAAGCCTTCTCTCCCCGGCTATGGGTTAATTAGTAAGACTTGTATCGTTAAATCATTATCTGAAAAAATTCAATCTAAAAATATTTCCTGGCTTTAAATAACCTGCAAATGTTTGATAAGCTGTAGAAAATTAATCAATCAATTACTGTATTTTGTTCGTGTGTGTGTTTTCCTACATTGTTTCATTTGTACATACAGATGTGATCTAATAGTTTCCACATATTAACAGGAACAGACAAATTTGGGTGTGGGCTCTCTTTTATTTCTGGAACTGTTTGGACAAACAGATGGTAGAGACAGATGTCTCTGCTATTAGGGGGCCAACTAAGGTTAACTGGAAGATTGAATGAAAAATGGGAAGTTAAGAATGAGGAAGCGTCATAGACACAATTGCATGTCTTTTTTCTATGTGTTGTGTTGGAATATCTGGAGATGTGTTGGGTTTTGTTTGAACCTGACTCATCACTTAAAAATAATAAATGCATGTGTGTGCGCACAAACACACACAAGTATTTGTTTACTTTTGTGAATGTATATACTTCTACGTGGATATGTTTGCCTGATCTGGGCCCAACCATTCAGCTGGTTAATTTCTGATTGTTGACAGACTTAAGAAGACTAAACCATCAATTTCCTTTCAGTTGGAAATGCAGAAGGCATCTTAATTACTTTAATCTAACAGGGGTTTTTGTCTATTTGTATGTGTGATAGGCTGCCGCATCACTCTTTCGATTTCGATGGGATAGATGTTCCATTCCCAACTATGTCTCACATTAATCTGAAAAACAGAAAACTAGATATCTTACTTTACTTTGACTGATTTTGAAATTAAATAAGACAACAGGGGTTTTCATGCTGAAAAATCAGCTAATGCCAATTTTATGCTATGTATTTCCATCTTTTGTTCAAAATGCTTTTCTATACTTCAGTTTTTGCTATTCAGATTTGATGTTTTGTTGAATGACTTATCTTATCTCAGATATTCAGGGGGGGGTAATTAATATATATATATATATATATATATATATACACACACACACACGTATGTTAATTTCAGTCATAACTGGAAATGACTACAAAATTTTTCCCCCTACACTTTTATAGGCAGACGTCCACAAATGCATGCTGGGATATATTTTTTTTCTTAGCGAATAAAATAAGTTGGTTTATAATTTGACTTGAATCAGTTCAGATCTGACTTATCCTAAAGACAGACCATTGCGTTCACTTGTCTGACCTTGCTTTTGTGTGTAGAGGCCAATTCATAGTTTGTAAACTTTTTGCTTTTGCATATATTGTTTTGCGTGCTTGCTTACTTGATATTATTTCATTTTTGCCCCTTTTTCTTGTCGCATCTGTTTGTTGGACAGTTATTTCTTTTACATTTGACCATGGCTATATCAATACATACACACACACACACACACACACACACACACATATGTATAATGTTTATCAATTTAACATGTTTCACTTTTTTAAAGCTTTGTCAGAGATTGAGAGAAAACAAAGAAATGACAAAACTTTGGTATTTTCAGTTTTGTTTGTATTGATTCTCATTGGTCAGTCATGTATCATGTGCATTAAAACCATAGATAATTCTATATGTCTGTAAGCTTGTAAAAATTCTAATATGTCTAATCGGGCATCAGATGGTAATGTGTATTTGTAATTGTGTATGTGTCTGTCTAGTAAGAGGAGTTCTAATGTTTTCACTTTTGTGTAGTCAGAGTAGTGGGATGGTATTTGATTAATCTGTGGCTCTTTACATGTTGTTTGTATTAGATATAAGGTAGAATCTTTAAGAATGGATTCAAAGAAAGATGGCGATGTAATGTTTTATAGTTGCCAATAATGTTATGGAGCTTTCAAAGTATTTTCTCTTTAAAGAATTTTTTTTTTAATTAGGGTGGCATTAGTAAAATCAGTTATGGCCAGCATCGTACCTGTGTAATACGAGAGTTAGAAAGTTTATCCAAACATAAACCTCTCTTGTGATCCTAGATGTGGGTTTTTAGATAACATGATTTCTCCCCCACATAAACATTTTTGCTATTTAACAAATACAGGCATTTGAATTGGTGTTGGGTTTATTTTTCTTCCTATTTTTATCTCTGATTGTTTTGGAGGTGGCTTTAGGTCATGTCTGTTTATTTTTATAATTTCAGAACTTGTTTTTTGTGTATGTTGCCATGAAAATTAGTTTCACCAGAGTGCTTATGCTACTAATGTACCCATGCCGTCAAAAACCATGGCAATTGTTAGAAAGTTTTAATAAGCGAGATGCAATGAAACCAGTCGAGATTCAATAAAGCAGAAATAAAAAAAATTCCTAACTAAAATCAAGGCCAATGAACTATTAAATTAATCTGTACCTTTTATATTTTTAGACATTTAATGGTATCTATGATTCATGGATTAATCCTGGTATTATATAAGTCACTTTTTGCACAATGTCTTTTCATGTTAAAAATTTTGTTTTTAATATAACAGTGACATGGAAATATCTCTTGGAAGAAAAAGATTAGCAACAGAACAACAGACAGTGATAACAAAACCTATTTCAAGAGCATGTTGAATCAAGATGATCACTTAATAAACAAAGGTATTTGAGTACCTCACATGAAAGGCTTGAACAAATAAGACTGCAATCTAAAAAAAAATGTAGGTGTAAATTTTTCTCAAGAATTAATTTTGTTTAAATGCAAATAAATATTTTATTTGTATAGATTATTAGAATGACTAAGGAAAGTAATCACTCATAAATTTACTAACTTAGATTAATTTACTTCCCTTGTCACTCCAGATGAGACAGGATATATAAATATACATTGATAATTATTATATGGATTAATATTTGCATTTCATGTAAAACTTTGACGTTTTTTTAGTTTTCATCATTTCCATCCCCAATATTTTGTAAGGAAAAAACTTGTGGATCCTGTTATGAAATTTCCTTCAATATTTAATTTATCTCATTTGTTCTATTAGTGGAATTCTGTTATGGGTGCCTTTCTGTACATAATTTCTGTTCAATCAATGTGGACAGATTTCTTTTGTTTTAATTTTTTGTAGAGAAAAAAATGTACATCAATCCTTTTCTTGTCCGTTTTTTAAAATTCTATTAATTAAAACCATTTCTTCATTTCTAAATTTAAAATCTCATAATTTTCCTTTTTATTGTTGTTACATCATGGAGCAGTACTCTTCCCTTGAAATCATTTATGCCTTTTTTTTCTATTTGAATGATTGAAATGGCCATTGGAAAAAGGAGCTTGTAATTTACTTCTGACTTCGTTGAAGAGAGTGAATATGTCTTTACTGACTCTTTAATTAATTTGTGCATCAGTTGTAAAAAGAACTGGGAAAGATGTGCCAAAGGATTTTAAACCAACCAAAATAACTTCTTTTTTTATATTTTTTTTTATCATTTAACTCCAAGTAAGGCAATAAAATCACTAAGATGGGTTACTGAGTGTTAGTGAATATAAGAGAAAAAGAGCGAGTGGGTAAGTAAATAGCAGAACTGCCCAACAAACAGAATTGACAAAGTTTGCAAGAAAAAGAAAAAACAGGGTAAAAGATAATATAAAGAAAGCAAACAATGTATGCAAATGAAATTAAAAGTAATAAGGCAAAGCAAAAGTAATATCTCTCCTCCTCCTCTCTCCCTCCTCCCTCTCCTCTCCCTCCTTCTCCCTCTCCTCTCCCTCCTTCTCCCTCTCCTCTCCCTCCTTCTCCCTCTCCTCTCCTCCTTCTCCTCTCCTCCCTCCCTCTCCTCTCCCTTCTCCCTCCTTCTCCCTCTCCTATCTCCTTCTCCCTCCTTCTCCCTCTCCTCTCTCCTTCTCCCTCCTTCTCCCCTCTCCTCTCTCCTTCTCCCTCCTTCTCCCTCTCTCTCCTTCTCCTCTCCTTCTCCCTCTCTCTCCCTTCTCCTCTCTCCTTCTCCTCTCTCTCTCCTCTCTCTCCTTCTCTCTCTCCTCTCTCTCCTTCTCCCTCTCCTCTCCTCCCTCTACTCTCTCCTTCTCCCTCTCTCCTCCCCCCTCTCCTTCTTCTCCTCTCCTCTCTCTCCTCCCCCTCTCTCCTTCTTCTCCCTCTCCTCTCTCTCCTCCCTCCCCTCTCTCTCCCTCTTCCCTCTCTCTCCTTCTCCCTCTCCTCCTTCTCCTCTCTACTTCTCTCTCTCTCTGTGTGTGTGTAAATTCACTCTTATTCACACACATACATACTGATATTTCATTTAAACTCAGTCATCTGAAAAGAACATTCATTTCACTCAAAACCTTTGATTTATTTTGAAATTGTTCAAATTTTTGACCGAATTTTGTTCAGGGTAAGAAGGACAGAGGAAAGTAACACATGACCTACCTAGTGAGCTTGTGTAAATGATTGGCAGAACAGGGATGGAGTTCAATACCCAGTTAAGGCAGTGGAGAACTTTCAGAAGGAAATTAACAGGAGATAACTGATAAATGACATCCATTAAACATGGCACGTGGAACTAGAACAGTCTACCCCAGTGAGCGAAATAAAGGATTCAGTTCGACATTCTAACCACCTGAAAAATGCTGGAGCGTACAATGGCCGAAACGTAATAAATATGGCGACAAAGATGATGACAATAGTCCAAATAATATAAATAATGATAATATACAGCATTCAAAATTTAATTTAAAAAAAAAAAAAAAAACGGAAACAATGATTGTTTGGCAAATGTTTAAGTTGGTTTTGCTTTCAGCCAGTAACTACCACTATTACTCTAATCCAGGTTCAGGAGTTAGTGGCATGAAAAATATGAGACCAGTCAGAAACAGACACATAGTGACACATTTTTTTCATAAAACCTTGGACAAAGCATTTGAAAATGTTATTTAATCATATGAATGTTTAATTTCTTTCAGAAAATACCTTTTTTTTTTTTTTTTTCATTCTTTTTTCATAATGTAGGTATTCAAATATCCAGCATTTTGAATTATCATATCGTATATTTTGAACCCCTGTTCCAAGCTGTTTAGATAATCGAGGAAGTACTCTACCTCTTGCCATTTTTAACCCTACATGTGCATTGTCAGAAAGTATTAGAACTAATATATATATAATTGAACTGCACCACGTACTTCATATTAAAATAACTGAACCAACGTGCAACTTTTGGATAATAACTGTGACATTCCTGTATTTATTGAACAATTTAGTTCATGCCACATTGACTGAAAAACCTACCAGTACAAAAGAATTCTCCTATTACCATATTAGGTACAAAAACGCATTGCGACTGCACACTCCAAAAAGATTTCTTACAATTAACAATAACATAATTTCTAAAAACATTTTTCGGATTACATCTATATTTTTGTTGTCCTGTTATTACCGAGAAGTAAAAAAAACAAAAACAAATTGTCCGTATGAACAGAGGAAAGCTTGTAAAAAAAAAAAAAAGACCTTATGCAACTGGAATTTATAAACAGGGATCATAACATTCATCTACAGGTTTGGGGTTAATGTACTTTATTAAATTTGTTTGCGAAGATGTATTCTCGCCATTTATATCATTAACTTATATATCTGTTTTTTTGTATGAATGATTCATGTAATATATATATATATATATATATATAGTGCAACTTTGGTTCTTGAATGTCTCACATGTTGAACAAATTGGTTTTCGAACAGAATATGAGATGAAAATGCTTTCATTATCAAACAAAATTTCGGTTCTCGAACAACATTGCCAAACTGAACCAAGTTAACCCGAACAGAATCATTTCTTAGTTGACCACCATGTTGTATTCATTCGTGTGTTGTGCTGTGCTTTTCTTTTCCAATTTTTTTATACTGTGTTTTCATTAGTCCTCAGTCATGGCTCCAAAGAAAGCTAGCAGTGATACTGGTAAAGGAAAAAGAAAAGTTAAGAGAAAAACAATTGTTGATGATATTGTCTCTTCCTACACAGTTTCCTATGGCAAAATCAACGATCTATACTATTCTTATAAATAAAGAGACGATCATGTCTTTCCTTCCCTTTTCCAAACAATAACATCTCTTACCTTCCCCTTCTGCCATCAAATCTCTTACAAGCAGGTACGGTAAAATTGAAGTGTTTGTCTATATTTTATCTCTTTAGTATTGGGTTTATTTATATTCTTAGATTTAATGAATTTCAATAATGCATTAGTTTTATGTATAAACTTGTGCACAAAGTACTGTTGTTAAAGTTTGAATAAGCGATCATCTTTGGACCAGGAATGGATTAATCGATTTTATATTGATTCCTATTGGAAAAATAGTTTTGATTTATGAACAGACTTCAGGAACGAATTTGTGAAGCGGGGTTCCACAAATATATATATATATATATATATATAAGCATTTTGCCCCAAGCATGGCGGGAGTGCCACTAGCACACAAGGAGTTACAGAGAGTGAGAGCTAGAGTAAAGAGGGGTTTTGAGGAAATGATATAGAGAAGGATGGGGATCAGGATCAAAGCATCAGAATATTTCGATTGACATTACATTTGAATATTTGAAGATTATAGCTACCAGGGAAGCAAGTAGAGGAAGGGAGTTCCACTGGCGGGAAGTGTGAGAGAAGCTGTTGGACTAGAAGAGCTGGTTACATGCTTAAATTTATGCAGTTGGAGCATCAGGGAAGATAGCTCATCAGAGCAGTTACGATAAAAATATTTGTAGAAATGAGAGAGGGGGAAGCTACAGCATGTCTGTTAGAAAGTGACTAGATGAGATGCCAGATCAGGACCTATCATATTGCATATCCGTCTCTGGATTTTGTTAAGGACCTCTAGATGAACAGCGGGAGCACCAGACCATATATGGCGACAGTATTCAATGCAAGGATGGATTGTAGATTTGAAGGATGGACTCAGATGAGAAAAACCTTCTGGCACGACACAAAACCAACTTTTTTTCTTGTGGTATGTGGTTATTATCCTATACCCTCTGAGCATCAGCTTAAACTGACTACTACATTTTTTTCATATCAGGACCATTTTCCTTAGTTCATATTTTCTTGATTTCAGATGAAAACTTTGAAACTTCCTCCAAATTTTAATTATCACAGTTTTTAGTTAACTAAATTAACAGTAAATATATTTGTAAAGTATTAGGAAAATCACTGACACAATGGGAAAGAAAAATTTAGTGATGTAACATTCCACACCACTTCAAATAAAAGGTTAGCAAGGAAACCCCCATCAATACTGGAAAGAGCTATAACAGCTACTGGACTTGAAAAGAGAAAATAATGACATAATCAAGATGTTGACGTTCCACCCTATATCAAACAAAAGGTTAGGCAGGAAACCACCATCAATACTGGAAAGAGCAATAACAGCTACTGGACTTGAGTAACCCTTTTTTTTTTTTTTTTTTAAATTTATTTTCAGAAAGATTTTATAAATTTCATCCAAGAGTTACGAGCTGCTTGGTCAATGAATACAGAATGTTTCCTTGTATGGAAATGGTTAATATTACTATTACATTGATGTAACCACAAATGCACATAGCAGAGAATAGATGCTGAAATTTTAATCTTTTAAATTTTTTTTTTTAATGCATTTTGGTTTATAGGGTAGCCATTTTCATTTTTTTTTTTTTTTATTTGTTTTTCTCACTTTTGTTAAGTATCCTACATTAAGATAACAGATCTTCCAAGAAAGGTGAAATGTAAGAACAAGGTCTCAATATAAATTATCTCAGTATAAACAGGTGAAAATACTTTTAAAACCTCAACCATCCTAATTTATATAGGCATAGCGAAGAAAATGGCGACTTACCTTGTCAAACCAAGCAACAGTGTGTCACGTGTATCCTACAACAGAAAATGCATTGAAAAAGAAAATTACTTACCCAAAAAATGGGCACATATTCCGTATGACATGCTGAAGATGGAATACTTAAAATAGAAACAAGTCCATTGCAGGAGTCGCTGTCAAAGTATTTTGATATGCAAAAATTGGGCATCCTCTCCCAGTTGTCGATGAATAGACAAAATGCTCAGCTGATAAAAGCAGTTGGGGTTCTCAAATCAAGAGGAAGATTCGTATATTTTGGTTACCGTGTTCGTCAGAGAGCGAGTTATTTTTCTGATTGGTTACGTGCATTGGAATTTGTGAGATAGTAGCTTCGAATGGAATTTTCAGCATTTCTTTCTGCCCCCGATATTCGAGTCTGAACTTACAGTGATTTGTTCCCTGCATTGTGGAAGTAATCTGCGACAAATATTTCCTTTACTTTCAGAACGTCTACAATAGGTACATTATAAGAAAGAGGAAATTCTTTGATGAAGAACAATAAAAGAACAGGAATTAAGACAGAAAATAATGATTGACATTGCATTTAAGTTTTTAAAGATCAAAGTTGAGTGGAAAACAAGAAACTAAGAGTACAATAAGAAAGAAGTACAAGAGAAGAAATCATTAGTATAGAACTTATGGCTCATCTGGCCATTTCAACTTTAAAATGATGAGACCTTGCCACCAATCTAGTACTGAGCTTAAATTTGTAAAGTTGAGATACCAAAAAGGAAAGCTAATCAAACCAATCGCCGTGAAAACATTTATAGAAAAGGCACAGGGAAGCTGCTACAGTAGTGGGAAAGAGACCTAACCAATCATGCCTCTCCACAATTTCCTATCACTTTTTTAATTATTTTCACTCCCAACCAAGGCAATAAAGCCACTAAGACACAAGAGTATTAGAGAATATAATAAAAAGAAAACATTGAGGAGAAAAAACAATAAAATAACAAGAATTTAAAAAAACTGAAGATATCGATTGACATTGCATTTAAATTTTTAAAGATTAAAGTTAACTGGGAAGCAAGAATCCGGAAGAGAATTCCACAGAGAATTCCTGTTAAATTGTCAAAAATTATCTAAGGAAAAATATTAGAATGGTTTCTTATTGCTTTTTCCATGGTTTGGATTTCAGAATTCTTTTTGGACTGATTACAAATCTTCTGAATACTAACTTTTCCAATTTTTTTATTTTTTTTTTTTAATCATAAAGCCACTAAGACTCAATGGTTTACTGAAAATGAAGGAAACTGAGAAAATGTTATTGAGGAGAAAGGACAAAAAAAAAAAATCAGGATTCAAGGAGACTGATGATGATCGATATTGCATTTAAATTTTTGAAGATTATAGTTGACAGGAAAGTAAGAACTTGGAAGAGAGTTCCACAAGCGAGAAGTGTGATAGAAGAAACTATTTGAATAACATAGATCTTTTTCAAATTCTGTTAAAGGTCTGAAAATAGCAATAATTTATATAGGGAAAAAAATGTGTTGAATTTATCCAAGAGCATTTAACCCTTAAAAATTTTTTCAGTCTCTCAAAATAACTAGAGCTTTCCAAAATCTATGTAATTTAACAAACAACCCAACAGAAATAACCTTTCTCATGGATGTAATGACCATAGGGGTTGTTAATATACCATAAAATAGAAACAGTCATAGACTGGTTGCCCTATGCTGAAGAGCCCACTCTACTTTGCTCTTTAACCCATATGTTGAATTCATTCATTTACCAAATGTATTAGTGTAAAGTGAAATGAAGTAGACTAGGCTACAATTGGAACTTTGGCTTATGGTCAAATTGTATGATCACCAAAGTTAAGCAATGGTCAGTACCTAGATGGGTGACTGCTTGGGAGTACCAGGTGCTGTAAGCTTGGATGTGCAGGTGGTGTAATGGATAACATCTCAGAATTAGAAATCACAGAGCAGAGTTCCAATACCAGTCAGGTTTGTTATATTGGCTTACACAGAAATACCCTTGGGAAAAGTATGAATCCACCTCATCCAGCCCCAGCTATGGGTTAATTAATAGGGCTTATATCAGTAAATCATTACCATTTCCAAAATAATTCTTCCAATCAAAAACATTTTTGCTGGCTTTAAATAACTTGCAATGGTTTCATAAACCATGAAACAATCAAATTTGAACTCTACTTGTCCTCTACTTGTCAAAGTCATTTTCTATGGTATCTTCAAAGACCATGAAGAAAATGGCTACTTAATTGGTCATATGATGTTTTGTTTTTTTTTCCCAACCTTTTGGACATTTTTCTGTGTGAACATTATTTACACTTGGACTATTGTCCACATCTTTGTTGTCGCTATCACACTGATTTCGCTGTTGTACCCTCGGGTCTTAATCTGGTGCTTGTTGATCTAAGTAGCCTTCAGGGAATCTTAAACTGAATCCTTTATTTAATATATGAGGGTAGATTTGTTCCCCTCTATAGATTAAATAAAGAGTTCAGTTGAAATGGCAAAATGTTGTGATAACGACAACTGATAACAGCATAAGTCTTAATATAAATAATGATAACTTCTCATCCCAGAAATTAAAACAGAAGTGTGTGTGTGTGTGCGTGCGTGCGTATTTTGTGATTTAAGTAGTTACTCCTAAGATTAAGAATTTTTTTCCAGATTTAGTTTTTCTTAGTGTAAAACAAAAATGAAAATATGAAAAAAAAATTTTTTTTATTTTTTTTTTTTTTTAGATTGGCTTCTCAGAGCTGATGGCTGCAACTATTTGCTGGGTGTACATTTTAATATGGAGTTAAAAACAAAGAACTATTCTATTATCTTTGTGTGTAATAATTACTTGTACTATCCTCCTCCACATTACAGGCTGACCATTTGACAAACTGTCTATTCATTGGTTAATGTATCTGGGTGTATCCTGTTTACTGACTGCAGACAGCAGAGTGTCCAGTTACAAATAAACATTACAAATCAACAAATGGGTGCTTGGGTAGACGAAAAACATTCCTTCTTGGCTTGTAGAATTGCACATGTTTACAATAATACTGCAGGCTTGTCTTGGATAGAGCGAGATAAAAAAAAACTATAGGTATAAGCAGCTTGAGAGAGATAAGGAGAGATAGATGGATATATCGATAAATACACACACACACTTGTGTGTGTGTGTGTGTATATATATATATATATATATATTTCATAAAGAAGTAATTCAATGTTAATGCGATTAATGGCAAAATCACTTCACTAACAAGGCTTAATGAGACATTCACTCACTATCAATTTGTTGAATAATATGATCCTTATATTTGAGTTGTTGTCAGAAGGAATTGACAAGCCTAGTACTTTCAACAATTTCAAATTGTCATCTTCAGAGTACAATTTTTTCTCCCCATTTACAGTCAAAAAATCAAGACGAAATATGTGTAGTATAGACCAAAAAATGTTTTTTAAAATATGCTATTTATTGACAGTAATGCTATTTATTGGAGATCCAAAATAATGTCTCATTAAGTCTTGTTAGCAAAGTGATTTCACCATTAATCATTGCTAATTAATTCTTTGTCTAAATTACTTTTCATATATAAAAGCTGCATATTCTAATATATATATATATATATATGTGTGTGTGTGTGTATTTGATTTTTTTTTTTTTTTTTCCAGATCATTTTCTCTCTTTGAGTCTTTTCATTAGGCATCAAGGATATTTTTTTTTGTTGTAAATGATGCTCCTCAAGTTATTAACTGTTTAAGTTTTTTGGGTGAACAATTATCTTAAACAAATAAATTAATCCTCTCGATTCATATACTTATTTGTTTGTAGCTGAAATGTCTTTGTTTTTAATATATGCCAGTTAACAGTAAATCTATTTATTGCTTGAATTAAGGAATCGGTTAAGTAGATTAATATGAAATTCTTGAGAAGGTATCATCAGCCATGTTCTGAAAAGACATGGCACATGGAAGGAGATTTAAAATCCATTGAGTAGATATGCATTTTTCGATTATTTTTGAATGTCCAAATATTTTTTTCATTTATGTAATTAAAACAAAAATGGTGCTCCATTATTGACATTTTTCTTTCAGTTTATAAGGATATAGCAGCTTTGTAGGTGGCAGTACCGAAAAAATTCCTGACTTCCACTTTACAAAATATAACCAAACATAAGAATTTGTTTTGGGATTATCTCTTGGTTTGGTCATGAAGTTTTTTTTCTCCAGAATGTTCTCCATTTGATGTACTTGAACTGAAAAAATCAGAAGGCCAAAGGAGCAGATGCTAAATAAATAAAACTGACAATTGTAATAAGAATTTAGCTGCTTGTTCCTTTTATCAATGCTTAACAGATGCATTGGGATGAGTAAACAAAAATTAGTCAGACCATTATTAGAACTTTCATTTTGTGTGATAATGGGAACTTCTTTTATGTGTAGTAAAGCAGTATACTGCATTGACTGAAACAGAATACACATATATCTTCAAAATAGATGTGTACTTTAACACTATGTGGATGGTGTAATGATTATTAGTATGGAAAATAACATCAAGCTGAGTTCAAATTCTAGCCAAGGTTGTTCACTTCACAGTAATTCTCTTATGAAAGGCATGAATACATCTATGTGTTCCCCACACCCTCGGCCAGCTATGGGTAAAATAATAATCTAGTCTGTTTTCTTTAGTTTTAGTAGAGTCAGTTGGTTTAAAAGGAGTATAAATTTGAATTCAAAACTAAAGAAGCCGTTCCACTCTTTCCCAAGAACATTCATGGTAACTCATAGTTATTAAAGACAAAGACACTGAGATTCTATGATTGTTTGTGTCCTAAAAGAATAAGGCATTAAAAAAAGCATTTCAAGTTAACTTTTTGGCCAGTTTTAAATGTGACTAGCAGTAGAACCCGGCGTTGCAACAGTAAGAGATCAAGTATCGACCATCATAAAGACTGAAAAATAAAATTGACAAAGATTATTGTTTAAGGTTGACGGACACGCATTTCTTAATTAGTTTTTTTTTGTTTTGTTTTGTTTTGTTTTTTTACGAATTGGTCAAACTGTGGCGGACATGAGACAGAACCTAGGACGAGCACAACTGGTCGCGACTTGCCTTGCCGTATTTGCTTAGCATGTAAAGCTACTGCAGTTGAAATGAGGAGAGAAAAAAGCACTTACCGCTTCTGACGTAATCCATCCTCGGCCAGATAACGTAAAAAGAATGAGGGGGGGACTGGCATCGCATTTTTTTTCAATAACGATGCAATGCATTATGGGACATGGACGCAATGAATTATGGGATCACAGGAAGACTAAGGGATTATGGGTACATGAACAACTATAAAAACAACTTTTTTTTTTCCAAGTTATGAGTTCTTCGAGGGACGTTCACGGTTGACGGCTAGAACAGGCAGTTAGTGTGATTTGGAGACAGAACTCAGGAAGGAACGACTCAAGTTTGAAATACCAGCTGGGAGAGCTTGAATTTACTCGCTGGTTACTGTTTTCTTCATTCACCTCACAAACCCAAACTCAAACAAAAACATTGTTTTCAATCGTTATGAGTCTATCGATTGAATATAATTTTATTATAAACAATTGTCTTGTAGATGGAATTTTTAAAGCATTCTGAATGTAAAAATAAAGAAAAAAGTGTGCAAGACAATAAGAAACACTACCTGCCAAAAAAAAGTGAAGTTTTGTTGAAATTGGTTGAAAAATGTAGGAAATCTGATCCCATATATAAATGAACACACACAAACAACCTGGGTTTTATAATAAGTATAACTCGATATGATTTGTCCCCCTTTCATTCCAGTGACAGAATCGTGTTTTATCGTGTTTTCAAATTGGTTTTGTGCAGAAACAATTGTGTTTTTCCAATTTTTGATGCTGTCAGAACCACCGCAAGGTAATTTTATGCAGTCCTGTGAAGTTTTGTTGAAATTGGTTGAAAAATGTAGGAAATCCGATCCAATATATAAACATACAGACACACACAATCTGCGTTTTATAATAAGATAGAATTTGTAAATTGATTTTAGGAGAGATGTTAACTGATGTGGGTGGAGGGGGGGAACCTGAAACAAACATTCCTTGAAATATTTGTGCTACGTGGTTAACTGTTGATTTAATAAAGAGTGAATAATTCTAAGAGCTTATACTTACAATCAGAAAGAGACGGTGGAACTTCTGAGATGCATAATGAAGAAAGTGAGCTTGGAATATTTGCTACTTACTGGGCTTCAGGTCTATCACAAAAGTGCTTTCATATGGGGAGCTGGCCTCGAAGTCTGGAGTGCCACAAGCAAGAATTTGCACAAAAATTATTTCCTATTATTTTCACAGGAAGATGGTGATTTACAGGCAATTTTCTGACAATAAACATACATAATGCATGAGAACCTGGGTTTGTGGGAGTGGGTGTCAGAACACTGACACCAGAGGAATGGTAAAGAGCTAGAAGTTACTTAGAGCAACAAAAGACAGGAAGTTGTGGAGAGCTATAATCGGCCATATCCTGATGAGACAGCGCATAAAAGAAATGAATGGATGTCAGAACTGGGGCAAAAAAGGAAGATAAAGTGCCAAAAGTTACTTAGAGCTTTTGTGATGTCGGACACCTTCACGTTGTCACTTGTGATGTTCATTGTAGACTGGTAATAGTATTGCCTTCAAATAATACACACACTAATAATACTTATTCAAATAGTAACTGCCCAATAGTAATTTTTATAATGATCAGTGTAGAGAAACAGTAGATAGTATAGAGAATAGCAATCACTTAGACGTCATGCTAATTCCCATTTATACGATTCCTTTATGATCACATGATCTACTTATTTAATAATGGAATCAGCTGTGTTTGCTCACTGGTGATTTGTGTTCAAACTATGGTATCGGCAACAAAAATTTATTCCTATACAAGAGCAACAAAAGACAAAGTTGTGGAGATCTATGATTTTCCACTTCATGAAAGGACTTGCCATATGAAAGAAGATTCAGCATTTTTAATCACTTCATTCCAAGCATGGCAATAATGGCATTATGACACAAGGCATTACTGGAAGTGAAAGAGAACGAGAAGACTTTAGTGAAGAGAAAGGACAATAAAAGTACAGGTTACAGGAACACTGAAGATGTTGATTGACATTGCATTTAAATTTTTGAAGTTTCTAGGTGGTAGAGAAGCCAGAAACTGGAAGAGAGGTGAAATGATAGAAAATAAACTAATAGAATAGAACTCTTGGTTACATCTCACTATTTCAACAGCAAAACGATGAGACCTATTTGTTGATCTAGTAGTATGCTAAAAATTAATGCAGTCAATGTACGAAGGAAGAGAGCTCATTAGAACAACTGACATGAAAATATTTGTAGAAAAGAAGTCAAGATGCCAGGTCAGGACTGATAACATTAAACCCTTCTTTGGAGTTTGTCAAGAATATGGAGCTATATAGTAAGAGCAACAGACCAGATATGGTGGCAATATTCAATGCACAGACAAATGGTAGATTCATAAATGTACATGAGAAAAATAGTCTGGAATGACAGAGGCAATCAACGTCCCTAGCAGTAGACTTAGCAATTGGTTCAAGATGCCAGACCAGGATCAATTACATTACAAACCCTTCTTTAGATGTTGTCAAGAATCTTGAGCTATAGAGTAAGAGCACCAGACCATATATGACGGCAATATTCAATGCACGGACAAATTGTAGATTTATAAATGTACAAGATGGATTCTGTTGAGAAAAACTGGCACAACACAGTGAACCCTAATTCAGAACTAAGAGATAACTTTTGACTAACTACTAGCTTTTAATGTTAATTTTAGTTAAGAGATAACTCTTGCATAGATATACATATGATATTGATGTATAGTTTTTAAAATAGAATTTCCAACCTCAAGAGAAAGATATCTTTATTCAACAGATGTCTGATTGAAAGTATAACTCAATTTTGTAATTTAAAATTTTCAGACTATTTAATATTTCTTTTGATATTATTGAAATTGATTTTCTCACATTTCTACTTTTTGTGTTTAATGTTTCCCTCATTCTTAATGGAATATAACAGAAGTGCTTTTTAACTACCAACATTACCTCTACAAAAACAAATTAAAAAAAACAAAAAAAAACTGTTTTATAGAATAAATCACTGTTCAGACAACCACATTTGGAATGTTGACAAATTTTTGAAAATTTATTACACCATTTTCTCAATAATACAAACAGAAATATATCATGGCTACAAAAATTTGTGGCTCATTTGTCTATCAACCAGTTTGAATTCAGAGATGTCCTTCAAGACTGGTTGCTAGCTAGTTATATATCTGTCTCTCTGACTATCTATCCTTCTATGTTGGCCTGTCTCTCTAACTGACTGACTGTCCTTCTATGTTGGCCTGTCTCTCTAACTGACTGACTGTCCTTCTATGTTGGCCTGTCTGACTGACTGACTGACTGACCGTTCTATGTTGGCCCGTCTCTCTGACTGACTGACTGACTGACTGTCGTTCTATGTTGGCCCGTCTCTCTGACTGACTGTCGTTCTATGTTGGCCCATCTCTCTGACTGACTGACTGACTGACTGTCGTTCTATGTTGGCCCGTCTCTCTGACTGACTGACTGTCGTTCTATGTTGGTCTGTCTCTCTGACTGACTGACTGACTGTCGTTCCATGTTGGCCTGTCTCTCTGACTGACTGACTGTCGTTCTATGTTGGCCTG